ACATGCTCTCCCTTGCATAGTGACTGAGGCATGTATGGGTATGTGCACATCATCACATAAGGTACCTTAGAGAGACAATTACCGTATAGCTGGAAATATTTGCTGGAATTTAATTTTGTTGTTTGCTGTTCATCATAAAAACGCACAATTTAATTCTGCAAAGCATTATAAGTAATGGGTGTATCAACAGTACACGCCTACACCAGCAAAATTAAATTCCACAAACATTAAAATAAGCTATATGGGTACAAAATTGCAAAATATAATTCCTGCAAACTTTCCAGCTATACTGTATTAGCATGTACTTATATTAGCGATTTTTATGATAGTGACATTTGGCTGGTATTTAATTTAGCATTTTTGATCATTTTAATATTAATAACTATTAATGATTCAATGAGAAATTAAAATGGTTAGCGTGGACTTAAGTTAGTGATTTTTTAAAAACCGCTAAAATTTGCTAAATTAAATACCTGCTAACAATTGTCTCCTTAAGGCCCCCATACACGGGGCACAATTGTTGCTTGAAACTTTGTGGTTACTTTGATCTTGTTGCCTCAAGCTGAGCAGTGGTCAACTTGAAGCAACAAAGATGAAAGTAACCACAAAGTTTCAAGCAACAATGTTGCCCCGTGTATGGTGGCCTTTAAGGTAAAAAGAACTAGAATATGAAGCATAATGTTTGAAATTATTACCTAGTAATATACTCTAAGATATGAACATTGATTTGATTATTAATGATAGAGTGTGATGCAATGAATACAAGTTGACTCCAAAATCAAAATTTATATGGGCTATTAATTGTAATAATCATCAAATTAGACCATCATGTCCCATACTATTATTTGAGTTGTGTTTCAATTTAAAAGTGGTGTGATGTAGTCTCATAAATTCGATGCTATCTGCATCTATTCATTCCTTAAATTTAAAAAATGTAAAACATTAAGGGGATCTGTCCCTTCACTAAACTATGCTTTCATATACATAACAAAACTACTGAAGTCTGAAGGTGCAATTTGACATATTGTTATAATTATTCTTTTAGCAAAACAACAAAAAAATAATAATAACAAGTACAAAATTAAACTATTCTAAAGCTAGTCTCAATGTTCATGGCACAGAGCAGACCAAAAATCCAACCAAACTGAGTATCATCATAACGACAGGAGCTACTAGTCCAGTAGCACTGGATACTCCAGTACAAGGCTCATCCACACTAACACCGCTGCATGAGGTGACACTAGATCCAAGAAATGGCTCAGTACAGCAACCCATCCTATCATTGAAAGTGTTAATATCAGAAAGACAAGTGGAGGAAGCAGAACTGCAGTGTATTCCAGTGCCATTAAAGGGACAGGAATCAAACGGATTTTGAACACTATTTCCTCGATATTGCCTTATGTACCTCACAAAACAATAGTCTCCACTCTCCTGTCCACAAATACCTTGACGAAAGTAGGTTGTGTAATAATTCCTTTGGTGTTCGTTTGCTGATATACATTTGAAGTAGGCAATATATAAATCAATGCAAACTGAGCGATCACAAATTTGAGAGAAAGCATTGTTGAGAGTAGTGAGCTGAGCATCAGTGAGGGTTGAATAAGGAAGGTTCAAGACACCACCTGAAAGTGCTGTTAAATTGCAGTTTGAGGTAAGATTCATTTCAAGCTGGCGGTCACAAGAAATGCCACTTTGACGTACTCCTAGTTGAGAGCTATGCCTCTTGCTGATTTTGTGCACCCAGTCAGTGACAGCAGCTACATCTCTTTTCTTTGTAGTTACAGCACCATCACTTGAAGCAGCGACAAAAAAACAGCAAAGGAGAAAAAAGGAGAACATCTTCATAGGAAGCAGCACCATTGAATTATTAGCAACGGTCCAAAAGGTAAGACTGTGTAAAAATATAGTACAAGTGGCAGCTTTTATAGAATATCTGTTACATAATGAAATTCATTGTTGATTTATGACAAGAAAAATTGCTAAACTCACCCACACAGATTTTAATAAACACTATTATCATACAACTTTCATTGTATTACATTGCTCCAGAAAAGTATAATCTATCTATTTTTTACTGTTTATGCTACAACTATGACGATATTTGTTATAAGAGTTTTTATGAATAATGAAAGCCTTGTGATACAGCAAGGATGAATTGACAATACTTATGGTTCATCAAAGTTTATAATTTTGCCTATACAGTTATACTTTTGTCCCAAGATAATGTACTTGTACATAATTTTATGTGCATGGGAAGCTAAAGAACATGTAACTGAGCTCATAAGTTATTAATGAGAAATGTCTGCTGATTGTGCTGTTTTGATTATTGTCAGTATAGGTGACTGACAATACTGACTGATTTTTGTCACATAATACATGCATAAACATGCACATGAATCTTGTATCAAAATTTTTAATAAAAATGGCAACAGATAAAAATTGGCTACATAATTGTCTTATGGTATTACAGCTGTTGGAATTAACAAGTACATGTATATACATCACAAAAAATTTATGTAATGCATCAATCATGAGCTAGCTACATGCATTAAGAATGAATGGATGATATTCATGCAGATCAATAATGTATTGATATTTTATAGCAATAGATCTTGCATGTACACAATGTAGTTTACAACAAAATTCAATCAGAATTATGACAACAGTACATATTGTATATTGTATTTTGAAAGGAACAACTAGATCTGTATGCATTATATTTGCATTGGTGCTTTGGGAAAGTACCTGCAAAAGGTAAACTATGAAGGAGTAGTTATTGTGCTTCTTAAGTGAACAATAAACTCAAATCTGTACATGTACAGTATATGATAACAGAAATATGCATGTACATGTAAGCACATCTGCTAAAAATTATTTAAGTCTTACTTATTACATGTAAAACAACTCTTGGTGAAACTAAAATTACAAAGTGTATATGGGTAATAAACACAGACTGTATTATGCATTCAATCATGTCAGAGTAATTATGCAGTGAAAATGTGAAGAGAAATCACATACAATAAGTAAGTTTGTTTACTCTTGGAAATTAGCTGGATACTCTTAAAACACTTTACGCCGTGATGTAGCAGCCTACAGTGCTATGGTTAGACATCTCTCTAACCAACCCATCAAGTACTCTTGGTAGATATAATATAATCTTTTTTTGTCAATTCTTTCTCATTCAAAATTTCAATTTTACATAATACTAATAGTCAAATCATGCTTTTGCCCCATTAAATACATGCATTGCAGCAACTTTAATTCATTAGATTTACCCATGTGTATACATGTGGTGCATCTAGCAGTGTAAAGGGTCAATCCTGTGAGGAGGTCCTTCTTCAACAGCCCGTTAGTCATATCAATCTCATTGACTTGATCACTTGATAGACAATAGACAATGTAATGACTTCTGGTGTAACATTAAAAGATTGATAATTTTATCTTAGTATTCATCAATGGATCTGGTCTAATGTATCAGATAATGTAGGATATGATATGCATTTACCACCTGTCTTATATTATTACTCACTTCTCATATCAGTACTACAATATTTCTATGCATCATTGTTGTTAATTCAACTTCACTTAATAGTTAGTTATTACAATGAAAGCATTAATACAAAATTGAATAAGAGTACATAACATCTAGGTTATCATATGTAATACAAAAGGAAATTTTGAAGAGAATAAATTTTGGTGGTTGGTGAGTTTTAAATTTTAATTTGTGGTCATGTGCCACTGAGCATGCATATAATGGCTTTAAATGGTCAATTTTTATTATTTTGGCAAAATATAGCTAATTATGCTGGACAGTCAACATGATCATCACCTTAAAATGTAAATTGATAAAAGAGAGTCTATATATCATGACAAGAGTACGTGTTGTGTACTACCACTGAAAGTTTTTAATCGTAAACTGTATTGGAACTTTGGGAAAAGTACCAGTACACACATTTGGGAATGAACTATGAGAGAGGGAGTCGGCAACCAAGAAAAAGAGCTGGTGGGTGTATATAGAAAGAGCTGGTGGGTATACATGAGTAAACAATAAAAGCTCCAAGGCCAAGTATAAAGAGAAAAAGGTATATACATGTATACACCTGCTAATACATACATGTACTTGGTTTTTTTACTAAAATTACAAAAGTGTGCTTAAATGGAAAACTTTAAAATAACAAAACATCAACACATGGCAATGTTCGATTTATTGTACATGTACACGAGATGCCTGTAGTTCAAAATAAGTAGAACATAGGTTCTCTTTCTCACATGACCAAGGTTCTCTCTTTCTTGTTTCTTAATATTTAATATTTATTCTTACACTGCATGTACAATACATATCCCCCCTCTGTCTCTCATACTCACTTTAACTCAATATTATTAACTGAAAGTCCTTGAACTGATACTATTGGATAAGACATGGTATACTTAAAACAAACAAGAGTGTAATACCTTTTATGGCTCCATAAATAGCTAACATATTACGGACAACATAAAGGATTCAATATCATCATACCTACTATTACTTGTAGTTACATGTACATCCCTGTCACATTGGTCCTTGACCATGCACCATAATACTGTAGAGATTTAAGTATACAATCACACAAAAATAAAAATGCAACGTTGCAAATGTTGGGTTAAACTACAAGGCATATAGTTACAGCCAACATTAGAGCAATATTGTTGAACTGTTGCAAAGGTCCTTGTTGCTCCGTAGCATTGGTATATTGTGGCACTGCCATTGGTGTAGTATTGCAATGATGCAATGTTTCACTGTTGCTCTGTTGCTGTTGCACTGTTGCTGTTGCACTGTAGCATATTGTTGTCACCCTCCTGTGTTTAGTGTGTTGTAATGTCTAATGATCTATAGTAGCTATATACTTTATGGTTTTATCCATTCACTTATGATGCATACATGTAGATCTATAAAGTTCACAGAGTCAACAACCCCCTATTATTCAACAATTTAAACTGATTTCTTTTTCAAAAATGGAACAGCTCAAATAATGTCTATACTACATAAAGTTAACTATAAGACTAAAGTTATAATGTTCAAAAGCTACATGTCTCTAGTTAAATAATAAATGTTCACACAAGTGGGAAAGAAAAAATCAGAGGACCAAAACTCCAACCAAACTGAGTATCATCACAAAGACAGGAGCTACTAGTCCAGTAGCACTGGATACTCCAGTACAAGGCTCATCCACACTAACACCACTGCATGAGGTGACACCAGATCCAAGATATGGCTCAGTACAGCAACCCATCCTATTACTGAATGTGCGAACACTATCAAGACAAGTGGTGGGAGCAGAACTGCAGGATATTCCACCAGAGGTACTTGATGGACAGGAATTTAACAGACTTTGGAAACTGGAGTAATTTCCTTCATATTGCCTTATGTACCTCACAGGACAATAGTCTCCACTCTCCTGTCCACAAACACCATGACGAAGCAAGGTAACAAGATAATCCTTGAAGGCCTCATGACTCTCATCTGTCAGTATGCAATTGTAGTAGGTTTCAAGTGGATCAATACATGCTGGGACACAAATTTGAGAGTAAGCATTGTTGAGAGCAGTGAGCTAAGCATCAGTGAGGGATGAAGGAGGGAGATCTGAGAGACCACCTGAAAGCTCTGTGAAGTTGCAATAGGAGGGAAGGTTGCTATGAAGCTGGTTTAAACAAGCAGTGAAGTCTTGATGTACTTCCAGTTGAGAGCTATGCCTCTTGCTGATTTTGTGCAACCAGTCAGTGACAGCAGCTACATCTTTTTTCTTTGTAGTTGCAGCACCATCACTTGAAGCAACGACAAGAAAACAGCAAAGGAGAAAAATGGAGAACATTTTCATAAGGAGCAGTACAGCTGAATTATTACCAACGGTCCAAAGGGTAAGACTGTGTAAAATATAGTAGAAGTGGCAGCTTTTATAGAATATCTGTTGCATAATTAAATTCATCACTTATTCATGACAAGCCAAATTGCTTAAACTCACCTACACAGATTTCAATAATTACTATCACCATACAACATTACTTTAATCCAGAAAAATATAATCTAACAATTTATGCTACAACTATTATGAAGACTTTTTATGAATTATAAAACCCTTGTGAGTTGTAACACAGTAAGACTTATGATTCTTCAAAGTTTATAATTTTGCCTAAACAGTTATATTTTGTCCCAAGATATTACATTAGAAGCTAAAGAAGTATACACTTAACAATATAATGCTTCCATCTTCATCATTGAGACTCTTATAAATGCCATCATTGATTCATCTTCCTCATACGTTTAAACTATCTCCTCCATTATTTCAGACATTACATCAAGAAAAAGTCACGTAAAACATAGTCACAGAAAACCTAGATGTTATAGTTATTTCTAATCTATGCTTACGGCTCCCTATTAAGCTGTCTAGAGGCAGTTAGTAAATCTGGTGCCTCCTCCTGGTTCACCGCTCTATTTATCAAAGAGCAAGGTTTTGCTGTCCATAAAGGTGCATTTTGTGATGCACTAGCTCTCAAATATGG